AATATATATATATAAATATATATATATAAAATTCCACTAACTTGGGGAAAGACTGCATGTTCTTAATTCTGCTCCTCTCTACTGAATCCATGTTAGTTCCTTTCAGTAGCGCTTTCTACAAGTAGCTCGGGGCAGGCTATTGAAATCAGTTTCACTCTTGTGACCTTCTCTTGTTTCAAGAAGTGTTGTAGTGTCTACCTGTGTCCTGATGCCGTGAAGCTCTTTTTTTCATATCTTTATAGCACTTCTCTCTTGATAACCTAAATACCATTTCCTTTAAGCACAAGAAGAAACATTACCTGTACCTGAAAACTGAATATAGCCCAGTCACATTTCAAACTTTCACATACAGGAGCGCACGTAATAGGCCATGTATTATGATCCTAATTTATATGTTCCTCCAAACACGACCACATAAATAGAGAAATGAAGGTAATTTACCAGGTAATTTTCATAATTAAAAAGTAGGCATACACATTCTAAAAACTAAACCCAGCAATTAGATCATGAATAATTCATATAATGGACTTTAGTTAGATATTGTCGCATAAAAGTCTGAGAAAAATATGATCTTGTTGAGGCTCGACCTGTATTCCAGCAAGTTTTCAGTAGTATGTAAATTTCAATAAACATCTAAACCCTCACTATTTGGTCATTAAAAACTTGTACCTATTTTCAACTTAAAATGTTGATTTTAGCCATGAAACCTCCAAATGAAACAAACAGATGAAATGTATTCACTGGAGACTTCAGTGGCCCTTTAGACCCAGATATTTATTTCTGTATATATTATTAGATCTGATTAGCCTGCACCAAATGAAATTATATATAATTTGCTAGAAAAGTACAGGCAAATGTCACAAAATGTACAGTTACGTGCAGCTTCAAAACGTACAGCTACTTTTTTTTATTTTAAAACAAATGAAATATGAAACATTTGCTCAGAATAGTCAGAAAATGAGAAAAATACCAGAATCTGTACAACTTCACTAAAGAACAAAGGAATCTCTCTAAAGCAGTCCACTAGAAAATAAGCTTTTGCTTTAAAGTTCTATTTAATTATTTTTGTCACTGAGTGTGATAAATAACTATCTGAAATATGAGTGTATCATTTATCTACAGACTTTCTAATTTATTTTTTTTCAATATTAACAACTGTAGCTAGTGTACTAAAGCAAGGCAGACAAACACAAGCCAAACAGGCATAATTTTTAAGACAGTTGTTGCTTTTCCTCTCCTACCATTAATTTTCTGATACAGGTATCCACAGAACTACTCTTCCCCCTGCCCCAAGAAATATTAGGACGTATTTTTTCATATGTATAAAGCCATTATCAGAATATTTTCATCCTCCTGCTTATTTCTTCCCACCTCTCCCCAAGCGCATATTTGATTGCAAGAGCTTCATAACAGAATTCTGAGTTCTGGCTATATGAAACCGTGACACAAAACCCAGTATTACTCTGTCTGTACTTTGTTCATCAGGATCTGGAACAAATACAGATTTTACATTGTAAATTGTTATTTGACAAAAGAAAAATTTCTCAAATGTCTTCAGTGAGGTGAACTGGGTCTTCTGTTACCCTAAAGTTGGGTGAGATGTCATACTCCTGTTTTACGGATTCTAAAAATGTTTAGTTTCTAAAGAAAATAGGAAAAGAGAATCATCTGCTTCTGGACAAACCCACAGAATACAAAATTATTCCACACATACAATCCTCTTTCTTATCCAAAGAATGTTCCTTCTTTCCAGTCTAGGAGCACTTTTACAGAGAACAACTCACTGTACTCATCCTTATTTCCTCTTAAGCTACTCAGGCTATTATCAGTTCTTTAGAAACCGTTCTATGTATCTGCTATATATATGTGCTGAGGAAAGAAAGGGAACTAATTGGTATATATTTAAAATACTATCTGCAAACCACAGAACAAACATAAGATAAATTCTGTAAATTTTTTTAGGTTCTTGCTTGTCTTTATTTCAAAGTAATCTTTAGCTTCTGTTGAATAATGATGCATTTCTAAATTCAAAAGATCATTTAGCTTTGTGTTCTTTATTAAGACTTCATTATTTTTACAAAAATAGAATAGAGCATTAGTCTTTATTATTTTTTAGTTTAACATACAGTTCATTTATTTTGAAAGGAGCATTTTGGGCACAATATATTTAGTTTATATTGGTGGTTCGTTCAATTGTTAGTTTATAGCAGGTCTTCTGGTCACCACACAAATTCTCAAGCTTCTGCTATTATATACTAAAAACCACACAGATGTCAGAAAATGTTTTTCTAAAAAAGTTAACTTAGGATAAATTATCACGTTGTAGCAAACAAGGTCAAGAGTCCCTTTAAGAAGGAGACTATTTCATTGCCTCCCAGTTTAGATTCTCCATAGACACGGTCCACAAATGAAATAGGAACCTGTTGAAACAAGCAAAACTATTTTTAAGGTTCAAAACCTAAACAATCAGAACTTCTGTAAACAAAAGAAGGGCCTTTGAACCACAGCATGTTTAGACATGGGAAGAAGGCAAGCACCAGACTGGCTTCCTTTATGCCAGTTCTTACCAGCGGCTTTAATGATGCCTCATAGCTAGGGAGCGTGAAATTATTTGGTTTATCACCTTTAAAGATGATCCAAAGACATTACTCAGTGGCTGGACGATGCATCAGTCAGAACACACTTAACAGCTTAAGTGTACTAAAAGTACTAAAAGGCTGGAGGCTTAAAATGAACCTTGGCCACTTTCCTCGTTAGCTAAATTCAGTACCGTTGTGTCAACGCCTCAGGAAGGCAAAAATCTCCCGCCACCATGAAACAGCATTCTGCTCAACCTCACTGGCTAAAAGATGGCATCCAAATATGGCAGTGGGTGCGTATTTTACAAGCAATACCTGTCTTTATCAGTTTGTCACCATTTTATAGATTATTTACAGGATTAAAGGGCATTTAACACTAATTTTGGTTTCCTTACTGAAGTGATCATACTGTCCAGATTAACTCACTACTCATAAAATGCTAGGAACATACTGCTTTGCAGTAATTTGACCATGTACAAATGACACGTGACAGGACATTCTGCCAACACCGTATTAGAATATTCAAGAATTTCCATAGATGTTTGTATGCAAAATTGAAATACTTCAGGAGCTAAAATAAAGAATTGCATTTGCAGAAGTCATTGAAAAAAATGGCTTAATGTTCTGCTGGCAGTTTCAACCAGATATCATCTGGCAAGTGGAACACAAAAATCACCACACCCTTGCATCTGTGCCAGGACTGCGGATTTCTGACAATTCTAGCAGATCGATCCATAGCAGAAGAAAACCCAGGGCAAGAAGACAGAAGGAAGACACCTAAGGCGGCATGCAGATCGACTCAACAATGACCGGCTTTCTCAGTAGAGTCTCTCTGATGATCCCAGTAAGCATCCCAGCAACTACAGAGCTGATCTATGGGTAATGGATAGGAATTACTGAATACGTAGTCAGTGCAGGACATCAGAAGTGACATTTCCTGACCAGTGATGGAAGAATGGTTAATATCTCATCTAGTAAGAGGTATCCAGTCTTTCCCTTCAGTATAGGGATTAACCTCCTGTGTTGTTTCTGGACTTTGCCTTTCTTGCATAAGAAGTTCTATCATTGGTCTCAAAAGAAGCATTTTCAACAGGGTGTGCTACTTCTCACGTATGGTAAAGAAGTACAGCAAAATGAAACAGAGGTGCATGCAAGACTATTCAGGTATAGCTTGTGTCAGTTCATCTCATCATCCGTTTGTTCCTTGTAGACTGGCAGGTCGCAATCTTCATTTTCAACTTTGCTTAAGAAATACTTTTCCCCTCACAACTGTATCTACATTTCACAACTGCATAAAAACTCCTGTTCTGCCTGTAGAGTTGCAACAACTGCAGACCAGGAAACAGATGTGCAAGTGTCACCTCTTCTGGAATTTTGATATTACTATTTCGATAGTTATAAAGATCCTAAGTATTGATTAGGAAATACTGTATCAATGTACACGAAAAGTAACGGAAAATTGTCCTGCCCCGGGAAGTTACAATACAGAGATGATACACAGAACAGTAAAGATACAATAGTCGTATTTATAGGTAAGTGTCAGCAATCTGAACACTGTCAAGGTATCACAAAGGAAATCTTAAAGACAAGGCCAAAGCAGAACAACAAAGCAACTTTAGAAAGAACTCTTCCCACATGCGAGAAACAAAGGAGGAGGGAAGAAGATGCTTACTTGAGAATGTAACAGATGAATTGTGGAGGATGGTGTAACTGACCCACCACAGAACAGAGCCCATGTCAACACCGACTGGGAGACATTAGCCCTAGTGCAGACTGTCTGTCAGGCTTTGAACCAGAAGACAAGTATCTTAAGTTTGATGCCTTACAACCAGTAGAAGCATGTAAATAGATCAGTGGTGGGATCAAATGCTAGGCAGAAAAAAGGTCTTTGTAGCAGCCTGAAGAGGTATAAGCAACCCTAGACTGCATTTTTTTAAAGCCAGAAAAGTATATTTTATTGTTTTAAAAATGGATCGTAAATAAAAGCTCATCTAACCCTAGGTTTCAGTATCTGGATGTATAAAAAGGTGAGGATTTAATTCAGCAATATTAGAAAGCAGTACGTGAATGCAGCTGGATGTGAAGACCAAAGAAATTAGGGTCAAACTGCAGCTACAGACAGGACAGTGATGTTGCTCCATAAACAAGATAGGTAGAAGACAAGAGCTTGCTTTATTGTGTGGAAATACTCTACCCGATGTTGATAAAGAAATGCAATATGTAAGGTTTAGAGAGAAAAGTACTAGCAACAGCATTCTCTGGCAATTCACCGTCATGAAAATGATGATGAAGAACTGGTTCTGAGATGTGGCTGCAGAACGAATTCCAGTGAATCACCTTAAAAGACAGCAGCAAGAGCAATTCAGTGAAATACAAAAGGCAGCAATCAGACTGCTAGAAACATAGGATCTAACAGGGTTTTTTGAGTTCTTTTTCAATGAATGTAGACAGCACATTCAAAGAGTTTAGAAGCGGAAAGTTTTGATAGCTGGAAAGTTGGAAAATAACAAGGCAATAAATGACAGAGAACAAAAGAAACCTGAAATTGAATCAGGTTGCTGGAGAAAACAAAATTATTTGAAAAGACCTAACTAGACATGCCTGTACAATATGAAGGAGGAAACAAAAGGCTCAGAGCAGCTTCATGGTGTATTCTGACTTCCTTCCCTCCTTTGAAGGACCTTGTAAAATTGTATGCAGCTAAAGAAATGGCAACAGGCAGAGGGAAGGATCCGCAAAGCATACCAGCCAGGGGAATAAGTAACTGGAATTTTAGATCTGGTATTCACCTGAAAAAGTTGGAAAAATAGGGTTCTACATACGTCATTTCTTTACACTGATTTGAAAATCTTGCTGCTTCTTGAAAGCACACAAAGCTTCCTATGCTCCCAGTAATCCGCATCTACATTGAAGTGAAAGCACAATGTACTTATCAAAACATTTACTATACCTCTCCGATAGTATATCCTAACTGTCTAGCCCGAACAATCATCTCCATCTGGAAGACGTATCCTTTAGAAACACATTTTTCCATTAGTTTCTGTAAGACTTCTTTTCTGTATAACCTGTAAATGATTACAAAGAAAATGAAACCTGAAGCACAACTTCTGAACTTCAGAAATCAAGATAGCGTGTAGGAATCTTAACTGTAGTCACTCATAAAAAGTCTTTCACAAAGTCATAGGAGCAACAGTTCTGGATATTTAGCCTACTATGTCTTAACATCCTTTCCAAACAGATTTCACAGTCCTCAGTAAAGGTCTGTTCTTACTCCAGTTCCTTGTTCATCAGTTTCTTAATTTCAATTAAACTTTATGAATTGCAAACCAGTCCCATACCTGAAACTCCCTGTCAAGTCTGATGCACCTGGTCTCAGCAAAACCTGAGTTATAAAATTGGCCCCACGACTGTGAAAGAAAACATGAATGTCAAAATTGCTCTGTACACCATTCCAAAAGGTCAAGCAGAATTTCTAGAAAAATAAGTAAATATCATCCTACTAGCAAAACCCCCCAACTTTTATTGCTTAATATGAAACAATTATATTTCTAATATGTTTTCACTGCTAGATTTGACCAATAAATCATAGAATCATAGAATCTTGAAATCAAAACCAAATGCTTTGTTTTTCAAACAAATGATCAGTAGCTTATTGAACTTCTCTATGAAGGAAAAAACAATGATTTTTAGAAATTAGGTTTACAGTCTGGTTCTTTATGGTACAACTGTCGGTTCTAATACAATACAAAAGAAATAAGTTTGACAACAATCAAAGCAACATTCTTCTTCCGACTAACATTCACTGTAAGCGGAGAATAAAAATGCTTCCTGGACAAATGTGAGACCTAGGCTTCGAAAATCAAGTTTCAGTTTTGGTTTACACTGCTTTCATAGTATGATAAGGATAAGCTCCACTGATGGAAAACGTTGTGAGACGGAACAGTCAGTCATGACTGTCTTGCTGAGGGCTCTATTACACTCTGATAAGATGTGCAAGTCCTTCACCTTGTCCAGTGTGATGTAAAGGGATTCCTCTGTAATGTCCATTTAGCTCTCTTCCCTTTTTTGGGTGTATATTTTACTTAGATTCACAAAAAGATAAGCATTTATTCCAGCCATTAAAAACCAGGAGAAATACCAATACAGTCTCTGTGATACCATCTCCAAATCAGTGGTAACACAACTTCTGGCCCTAATTCTTTACAGCAACAAGTTAATTAGCATTATCTTACGCCTATTCTCTTAAATCAGGTCTAAGAGAGAAAGACTATACAGAAACTTGTGACTACTTCCTCAAAATCTGCAAGTCCCTGTAAACCAGAGATGCCAGCCTCCATACACTTAGACAAGAGTTATCCTCTTTGTGTTTGGGTGAAACCTCTCCCTAGTGTTCACTGCACCATCTTCCAGGAAGGTCTAAGTAACCATTTATTGACATTGATCGTGCCAGATAATTCCTAACTTAGGACAAATCAAGGTGTCAACAGAGGGGTTTAGCAAGTGATTTACAGTTTAGGGACGGGGCGTTCACAGCTATTAAAGCTGACTGAATGGCTCTTTGAAACTTGACATAGTTTAGTCACAGGCTCAGCTCATTCTTTGGATGAAAGGCTGTCCCAACTTGACGCCACACAGATTTGTCCACTGATCCCACATCTCAAGCCTAGTCAAATAGTTACATTCTTTCTTGGATGGTTTTAACCAAAGAATCTGCCAATTAGGCACACTTCTATTATTTAATATAATTTTGCAGTAGCCAGTACTAGTGACTAAAGACTCAATTCAGCTCACACAGGTTGAGTTGAGTACTTGGAATTACTATTTCTAAATAACAAGTTTATGTATAAATATCTAGAAAAATACTAACCTGATTAATTTTCTTTTCAAATCCCAGCCATATACTCCTCCATTTCCTTTATATCTTGTTCCAGATACAATATCAAAATTGCCTTCTCTCTGCTTTCTATAAGCAATTGGTTTTATCAGAAAAAAACAGGAGGAATATTTGTATGAAGGTAGTACAAATTTCAAAACAAGAACAATGACTCTTTTACTACAAAATCTGTATTTTACAAACATTTGAACAAGTAAATAGAGAAGAGAGGAAAGCAATAGTCACAGTGGTTATAAGCATTATGCATTGTAAAACCTGTTAATTGTTCTCTTATAAAGAGCTATTTCAGGGAATCTTAGGATTATCTTTTACGAGCTATGTCAGAATTTCATAGACTACATAAATAATTTATAAAGACTGACTTGCGCATTTTTAAAGCCTCTCTCTAGTATTAAAGACAAAAAGACTTGAAATACAGATTCTTAAATATTTAAATTACACAAACCCCTAAGAAGGAAAAAAAATCTGGACCTATCCTTAGTCCACACCATGCCTGACTGCTACAGAACCTCACCTAAATTTTTAGGCTTCCAGTACTACTAAGCAAGAAAGTGGAGAATTACGCAGAGCCCTGCCCTTAGTCTCCAACATAATGGCTGTTCAGTGTTTCTCACAAATGGAAATGTTTCAGGGAGGTAAGAAGTAGGCAAAAGGGAGAGAAGGATTTCACCAGTCATTGAGGACATGGTCCTCTGTTCCATACCCTACACACACACGTCATGAAGCAACTGGAATGAGATGACGACGTTCACACATATGCTCTTCAAAGCCGAACAACCATTACAAGGGAAGTACTGAGCCACACGTGTTCTCTGTTACTTTAAATGAGGGAATTTTTGCTCCAGTTAGGAACTAATTCTTTTTCTCGATGATTTTGGGACAAATCTAATGAGGTCAAATCACTTTTATTTGAATTCTTGCCTTACCAATTTTCTTACTACAGCTAGACTGCTATACAATATAAATCTTTCAAATATTACTATGCAACAATAAACGATCAGAAGCCATTCTCTCATGCTACAGTCAGCACCTACCTGATAAACTCTGGAATAAATTTTGGCTGAAATGGAAGGAAAACAGATCAGAAAAGAGAAAGGGGTGGGGGTAAAAAAAAAAAGAAAATTTAATTATAACAGTTTAAAAATACAGTACATAAAATACACTTACATGGTGAGAGAGGTCAGCATCCATAATAACAATAAAATTCCCAGTGGCGTGCTTCATTCCATGAATATAAGCAGTGCCTGATGAAAACAGTACAGAAATAATTTCCCTCACTACTTGAACATACACAATCTTCTAGCCAGAGTCTTCACTTATTTTCTAAAATCTCTAGGTTGTATTAGAAAAGGATCAACTAAAAACTCCTAAAATTTATTTTTAAATGATGTATCAGTGGTCAAACGTTAAGATTTTTTTTCCTTTTCCATAAAATTTCAGCAGTAGATTTTACAGATATAAACCTTGGCAAACCCTACCACACTAGAAAGGCACAGAGAAACATGGCTTGGTAATGGGACACTATTTGAAATAACATTTCCAGAAGTGCCATAGGCACTTGTGAGCCATAGAAAAATAGGACACAGGCAACAAAATAATCACCGATAGTTAAACCCCCTTGCTTTCTAGACTCGGGATCTACTGCTAGTAGTACGCAGATTTTGGTTTGTGCTCCCTGACACCATGAATTACATGCTGATACCTAATCTGAAGAGTGTCTTTTTTTTTTTTTCCTTACTTTAGATTTTGTTGTGTTTTATTCATCCTGTATGAACAGGTGTAGCTCACTTGGTAAGAGCTGGAACAAGTCTTGCTGTTACAGTTTTCCACCACAGTGCAAATTTGTGATACGAGTCGTATCGTTCAAAGAGAGCACTGCTTCCAAGGGCAGTACAGCAGCACAGCAGAGATTAAAAACTGGCACGTACTCTTCACTGGTCCAAGTTACTCTTGAGTCTTTTTCTTAACTTCATAACAAATACATAAAACTGAGAAAAACCCCGCACTCAACTGATGTCCTTAGCAGGCACTCTCACAGGAAACTAAACTGGTTAATGAACAACCTGTCCTTTCTTTTCCATGTTGTTTGCACAGTTACACAGTAGGAGTGTCACAGATTGGTGTATTGTGCATGAGTAGTAGATATGGTACGTGAAAAACTTAAATTCAGTCAGTTCTAATCCACAATACTGGTCAAACTAAAACAAAGGATGAAAAGGCAGAAAACAAAAATCGAGATATGTAAGCTTTCTGAAGTTTTTTAGATAAATAAGATATGTAGGAAAAGAAAGTACAGAAAGGTGAACACCTCAAATGTTTTACCAGCACATGGAAGTGGGGGTTGCTGAGACATTTAGCAAGAAAGGCAGATACTGATTAACAATAAATCAAACACGGTGTTGCATTTTATAATTTTCTCCATTTCTGTTATAACAGAGGAGGAACAAGGATACAACATGAATCTTAACAGATGGAAATATCCCCACTTTATTTTAGCAGAGTTTCCATACTACAAGTGTTAATGTCATTTATGACTTTATAGGATATCTGCTTTTTTCTAAAGCAAATAATGACAAACTTGACTACAAATTCTGTGAAATATGGTCAGGGCTATAAAATTGCAGCCCTGCATCATTCCATGCAAAAGACTGGCTTCCGAATTAGCAGGATTTCTGCAACACTAGTAACTTTTGCAACATACTTCAAAACTTTCAATTCATGCATCACTTAGTCGATGAGACAATACTTTAGTAGTTTGAGTGCTGGACATCTGTCAGATATGTATTTTTTATTTAATTATAGTCATAATGCACACGGAAATGGGTTAACTGTCAGGAGCTCTGTCCAAATACGTGTCAGGAAAACATCCCAGCCTTCTCTGGAGATTGCACAAACTATGGCCCCATTTCTGAAGCATCCTGCACGTGGGTAGGTTGCACAGAAAGTACCACTGTCCCCTCTGGATCAGTAGGTTCCACACAAATATAGCAGCTACTCTTGTAAAAAATTACTTTTTTTTTTTTTCCTCCTCAATGTAGACCCCTCATTCTGTACGCATTGAATGCGGGGTGGGAGGGCGAGAGGCAGGAGGATGTTAGCAGGAAGGCACTGACGTACAGAACTGCAGTGACCACAGTTTCCAGCTTTGAGGTTGTGGGGAACTTGTTACTGTGATTTTTTAATGCGTGTGGGTTTTAAGCTTGTTCACTTACAAAAAAACTTGATGAAAACATGTATTTCTCCTTTTGGGCTTTACTATGATTTTTCTCTGGAACTTCACATACTGAAATCAAAGAATACAGCAGATTTTTTTAAAATTTTTTTTTTTTTTAAATTACAGTTAATAAGTACTTACCAAGGCCTAACTTTCTTGCTCTGGGTCTCAGAAGCTGCAGGATACATTAAAATATACATATATTACTTGAAGTACAGTTTTTAATTCATTTTAGTGACACCTTAAAATTCGCTATTTTCAAGGTATAAAAATACTTTACAATGTACTTTTAATTCTTAGAAATCTAAATAAAATATAAAAATAAATGTATCTGTCAAAATACAGGAGAAACAAATAATTACATTAAACAAGTATTTATCAGGTCATATTTAAAACCAAACCCCTTTTAAGCTTTGCATAATAGTTCTGCAGTGAAAAACAAAATCAAAAGCACTATCTTAGTAACTAAAGGATTTCTTCAAATTCCACTATCTGAAATACAGTTACAAACCTGACCCGTCTCCCCAGCGCCATTCCTTTTAAGGAGTGACAAACACTAACAACAAGTATTTTGGCGAGTTTCCCAAAGGGATTTAGCACACTTTTAGTACTGAATAGAAGTTTCAAGATTTTCATGGGCATACATGTATAACCCATGAATAACGACCCCATAACAATGTACTGATCTTTCAGAATACGAGCGACCAAGCTTTAAAACGGTGTCAAGCGTCCTCAGCTGCAGCAGGGCCCTGCAAAGCGCAGGGGGAGAAGCGGGCACCACCACTAACAGAACAGGAATCTGACTTTTAGATCCTCATGACAGTAATTTAACTTTCAGCTCCTCCTAAGGTGCCTTTGATGTACATCAGCATTTGGGGAGGAGCGGGCAGGCATTTAAGCAGTCACCCAAATATACTTCCGAAACAAATTTTAAATCTCACTTTTAAATCTGGGCTAATTTTGATGCATTATCTGAGCGATCATAAGTACTCTAATTCAGAGGAGGACAGGGATATAAAAGAGTCAGTAATCATTAGTGCTTCTGCTGATTTGTTATGGTGGTTTCTGAGGCTTTTTCCCGTAGATTATTTTTTTCCTTTTAATAAATAGTTAAATTTGAATATTTAAATAAAAATCACTTTGATTCTTCATCTACTTCCTTGTACATGTTGGCCTCTCAGTAAGTCAACTACATACCCTGTTCAGTGAGCGTAACGTAGCAAGCGAGAAGCCCCATGGAGTTATTTAGAAACCAGAACAATGATTTTGCTCAGGAAACAAAGAAAAGAATTTCAGGTTGGTTTTTTTTTTTAAAAAAAAAGCAGGAAACAATGAAAATTGACCTAATGAGAAATCACAGCTGATTTACACTTCTGCAGGAATATCAGAGTGAGCCAATGGCAGTGCCTCCACGTAAGTCCACTCCAGTCTGCTTGGCTCAGCCCTGCTGGAGGGGGGCACACAGTGATTAAACTTCAAATCAAAACTCTTAAGCAGTGAGGAAGGCTGGCTAACCATCTTAAACTTCTTTATTACTAATTACACAGTAGTAGATTAAAAGAGAGCCTGACACTGCTTACTCTGACAAACTGAATGCTGGGGTTGTACACTGTTTGGTGACAAAGCTTTCATTGCCCTCCCCCCCCCCCAAAAAAAAAAAAAAAAAAAGGAAAAAAAAAAAAAGAAAAAGGCTTTGATGACTCATAAAGCCTAAATAAATGACAGTATCTTGCAGTATATAGAGCAATATATTAAAAAGAAAAAAAAAAAGGTCCTGTTATTAAGGAATGCAACTAGACAAATTAAAAATAAATCACAGGACCAGACTAGCTTTCATCTCTCCAATTTCCCTATTACTGCAGTCACTTAAAATGAAACAGAAGTTTATCCAAACCTCATCTCTGCCCCAGGCATGCTCGAAGTTCACCAACAGTCGCTGTTCATTACTCAACAGCACACAGCACTGCACAAAGGATTGAAAACTTTGTGCAAGTATTAATTCGTGATTCTGCCTGCGAGTTCATAATGCTGCTGTGCAGCTGCGTGACTGCGTCGTGACTTAACGTCTGTCTCAAGTGGCGTGCAAAACTTCAGTAAGTTGTTTAAGGATGTAAAGAGGGTGCAGAGCCCAGGGACTCCATTCCAGGTCTCTAAGGACCTTCAAGTACTTTCCAGTACAATAAGAACAACAAAAAAAAACAAAACAGACTGTACAACTCACTATTTTATCTGATCCATAGATCTTTTCCAATTGTTCAGCAATTTCCTGTGTCCCATCCGGGCTTCCATCATCTATGATGACAATTTCAAAATTGTTTCCACTGAAATGAGAATTATTTTTACATGAACAAATGGAACCCCCAGTTTCACTACCTATGTCATTCCGAAAGGCACGAAACTGGAAGAACAGAACAAAGCGATGTTCTGAGTTAGACACCCGTTGCAGTTACTCTCACAGCTCTAAGACTATGCTTGTCGCGATAAAACGTGACTCAGCGTCGCGATTTCACGTCTCAAGCCGCAATTGCTCCAGAGCCCGCTGCGGCAGCGCGAACCTCGCCATCCCCCGCGTCACCGGGGATTCAGCCCCCGCCTTGCAGCTGTCAGCCGAGGGGCTCGGGTCCCTCCGCGCCTTCAGCCGGCAACGCCGCCGCCGGGCGCCGGCGCGGAAGGGATCCGGGCGCACGCCAGGCCTCCGATTACAGCAATTTCGGTTCCCTAATTACCCTGGGGAAGAGCTGCGCTTTTCCCTGCGGGTCACGTACATCCTGATCCGCCATCGCGAGTGAAAAACGTTACGTATCTCACAGCGCGGATGACGTTACTGCCTTCCTAAAATGTGACGTTATTTTGTAAATTTTACGGACGTGTATTTCCTGGCTCCACAGAGAGCGGGCCCGAGCTCCGCAGCTCTACCGAAACCCCCCACCGACTGTTTAACCCCTCCG